TTTAAATAGTGGTTTAATAATTGATAGTTTTAATGCATCAGGAAAAGTTCCACAGGAGAAAGATAAATTAATTAAATAAGTCAAAATTTCAATTATGTCGTCAGCGCATTTTTTTAGTATGTTTGTTTATTACAAATTCCTACACTTTACACTTTTGGATATACATTTGCTATTATGGGGTAAATAAAATTGTAAAAAACGGTTATGCGGGATTGGGATAAGGCAAAAAGAAAACGGCAAAGAATCAAGGTTTCCATGGTTACTCATAATTCTCAACCAATGGCCCTTGCCAAAGACTCTTGTCGCTGTCATTCAACCATGTTAATTTTGACTTTTGCGAGTAAAATATTTACTGAAAGAAAAAAATTACATACAGATTATATAACTCCATTAGATCAAGCAAGGGACTAGTATTATAAAGGGGAAAGATTTGTATTTTTGTATGTATTGAAATAACTCCAAAACTACTGGGCCGTTATTAAATTCTTTCACCGTTACAAAGGTAATTTATCTGTGAGTAACATAGGCTGTTTTTAATAAAAAATTTTACGCGAACAAAGCCGCGAGCAGCATAATTTATAATGTATTTTTCTTTCAGCGAGATATATATTAACGACCAATGACAAAAAATTGGTACTACATAACTTGTACACTTATGCTAAACACTACGCGGTTAGAGGTGGCGTTAGATGGAAGTGTTCGAGGCAAACCAATAAGGGCTGCAACGCGTTTCTTGTTATAGACCATCTGGGGAACATCGTGAAGGTCAACGAAGAACATATACACGAACCCACCAAATATCATCGTGATAAACAAGGGAAGTATTTAAGAATATAAGATCGTCGTATAGTCGAAGAATTTGATTCGCTACCCACTTCAGATCTAATATTGTACTTATTGTCAACATAAGAAATGTTATTTTGCGTGTATTTTGTCATAAAAAGTTTTATGACAGATGTTATTGAAAATAGTAATAAATATTTAATAGTAAATTAACATGTACGTTTTATTTTTCACCTTTCAGAATCCTCAATTAGGATTTATTGCCTATTGGCCGAGACTCGACCATAACACTCGTTCAACTTTTTTTAATTAAACTAGGTTTATGCTCTTCCTCTCTTCATTAACTGTGTTTTTTCCACTCCACTGTCCACTGTGGAAACAAGTGTGTAATTCCATTCTCAAACATTAGTATTGAAAATAAAACCGTATCTTATAAATTTTAAAATAAATTGATATTACATAGCCGGAGTACATACCTAACACCACGCGGTTAGAAATATCGTTAGATGGATGTGCTCAAGGCAGTATTCAATGGGTTGAAAGGGGTTATAGTTATAGATGACCTTGGGAACGTCTTGAAAGTCAACGAAAAACACACACCTACTTAGTATTTTCGTAGAAATATATGTGAAGTATCAGAGAATCTATGTTTGTTGTACAGTCAAAGAATTTATTTCAATTTCCACTTAACTGTACGATTATCCCGGAAGTTTGTCTTGCGCAGCCGCGTCGTGGAATGGTCTGCCCTCGGCGGTATTTCCAAACCGCTACGACTTAGGGTCGTTCAAGAACCGAGCATATTAGCTTGTCAAAAGCTGGCAACGCATCTGCAGTTCCTCTGGTATTGCGGATGTCCATGGGCGTTGGAACATCTCGGTGTTCTCGCTGCTCGCTTGCCCTGTACTGTTATAAAAAAAATCTTAAGATCGAATGTTCAGTATGGGCGTGGCCAGATGATCTATGCTAGGTCTAAAGGGGCATAACCTTCTGCATCTCCTTGGCGACGCGTCGCGACGCCCATGTCGAACAGCAACCTGTCACTTGAAAACCTGTAATTATAAATATTATTGTATTGCACAGAATTAAATACTATAAAAGCAATTTAAATCTATTATTGAAGTTTCCTTTCCTTTTTATTTGGATGAGGATTATTAAAACCGAAAAAAATGCTTAGCAAAGTGCGAATTTGAAGGTGATTCTTTCATATGTAGAATTATTTAGATTATATAATTATTTAGAAATATTTATCATACTAATTGTTGATTTCAAAACAACAATATATTAATTAACTGTATCAACCATTCACTTTAAATTGAATTATATTATACATGTATTTTATTTTCAGTTAAATTCATCAAGACGAATAGGGACCGACTACTGGCGATGTATCACAACTTCACATACTTCAAGCATTATTCTCTAAAGAAGGGCGCTAGATGGCAGTGTACGAAGCATTTCTCACGCCATTGCAATTCGTATCTCATACTGGACCACAAAGGGAATTTACTAAGAATGAAAGAAAATCATACACATCCACCAACGCAGTACCATCGTAGCAAGTGCGGGCTATATGTTAGGATGTGGTAAAACACAAGTGTATGTTTGGGATTTCTTTGTACAGTCAAAGATTTTAATTCCCTTCCCACTTGTAAATATTGTACTGCAGTCATCGTATTTAGCACTATGTTATCTATGAGAAATTTTCGATCTAATTGTATGGTGTAAATTTCAGATTAATAGAAATTTTAGTATTAATATATAATACATTAACGTAATACCTCTTCGATTCTATTCAAGTTAGTTAATAAAATCAATCTTATTACGCGGTAAATTTTAAGCGTAGGAGTTAATTTAGTAATTATTTATTAACAAGTTGTAGCTTTCTGTAATAAAGTGTCGTACTTCTTAATATTTTATCTATTTGGCCCTACCTATATGTCCATAAAAATGTTGTTTACAGTCTGATAAATCTGGTAAGTCTGTAGATAGAAGTAGTCTGGTATAGTCTTATAATTTTGTATTCCTTTCAATAGGATAAAAGTTGAAGATATCTCAAATAACTGGAAACCGTTTTAATTCAAGGAATATTGTTTATAGTACCTAAGTTAAGACTAGTACACAGGTAGTGTACAGGGTTAATAATGTAGTTTTTCTAAATACTTGGATTGCTATCAAGATTTAATATAATCGACTCAATTTATTGTATCCCTGTGTTCCATTTCGATTGATTATATCTTGTATTTCAGTTAAATTTATTCAAACAAATTCGGCTAAGACGCTGGCGATGTTAAACGGTTACACATTTTTCAAGCACGTGAAGTTAAGTTGTGGTTTTCGGTGGACATGTTCCTGTCATACGTCGAGGAAATGCAAAGCCGCCTTGGTTATCGCCAATACCGGTGAGGTGGTCAAAATCAACGATACCCATACGCACGAACCTAGTCGATATGTATGCCATAGTGGAATCTACTTCAAAGTGTAATTTTACTAGGACTCTGTGTGAAATCTGTACCACTTTGAGTTCACGGAGTATTCGGCGGAGATTACTGGGTTCACAAGTTGAAGAAGAAATAAAGGGATTCACTGAACCCAGTAAAACTTTGAAAATGATGTATCAGGAGCTAAGTTCTAGAATTGCTGTTTATACATTTATTAAAATTGTCAAAAAAATGTTACCATCTAAAAATTTAGATGTACATGAGAATATTCAATTTGTGATTAAATAAATATGTTTAGAAGATTTTAAAAATTGTAAATACCAACCTAATTAAAACAGATAACCTTACAGTATTCTTTTGCGTTAAAATTTAACGGATAACCTATGTTTGTTATAAATGTAGCAATGAAGGGGTTGCCTACGTAGCCGTAAACAAACTGGTACTGACTTTGTAGCAATGATATTGACCGACAGAAACACCTGGGAATATGAAACCAAGCTGGCAAATGATGATCGGTATCGAGGTATCGTTATTCGCTTCGGTTTAGCTTATTTAGCAATTTAACAATAAAGTATACTCTTTACAGTTGTAGCAACTTATCATAGTTTTAAAATGATAATCTGATATTTTAGATAATACGTATAAAATTTTCCAGTCCTCATGGTCAAAGGTCGACACGGGAAATATCTGTTAATGTTTAATGGCTATACGTACTATCAGCATAAGACGTTACGAGATGGGTACCGCTGGAGCTGCACACAAATGGGTTCCAGGTCTTGTAGAGCATTCCTCCATGTTACGAAAGAGAAACTGGTGATACGAGCTCAAACAAATCACACACATCCACCGTCAACGTACTCCTTTGAGAGTATCAAGCCAAAAGACACTGATGTATGTATAAATATTTTTAATTGACGACCCAGTTCCATTTTCAGTTACTAAATGTTGTTTGTTTTGTTTTGTTTATGATTTTTATTTTGTTTTAATAAAGGACCGTCTCTTTTTTCTTGATTATCTCTGATTTCCTTTTCTTTCTACGATTGTGCAAATTCGCATTGTTTAATTTCTCTTTCTCCTCATTTTTTTCTTTCAAGAATGACGTAATGTTTGTTTTCACTCCGTATATTTTTCAAAAATATAATTTTGTATTAATGAGTTAAATCATCCATATTGTATATATTTTTTATTTTTATTTTAGGAAAGAAAAAATCATACAAACCGAAAATTAGGCGTATCATTCAAGATAGAAAATATTCAAGGGCACGTAGGATTTTAGAAAAAGTCCTTCGTGAGAGGAATTAGATTAAATCATATTTAAATCGCCATTTTACAGTTTTAAGTTCAGAGATATCTGAGATTATGGTTGAATATGACAATGATGATTTCAAATCGACAGCACAAGAAAAAGCCATTGATTGAAGGAGACAAAGATTTTTGTAAAACCAACGCACTTGAATCTGAAAAATATAGATTTAAGCAGCAATAAAGCGTAGATCAGTTAGCAATAACGTTAACTACTGGGTTATACATTTACATGAAAGACTGAATCTAGCTAAACAGCGTATGTTTAGAAAATCATGCTTTAATTTTTATATAAAGCCTTTGGACATGTAATCATTAAATGCAACATTACCACATTAAATATTTGATAATGCTTCAATTATAATTCTGTATTAAATCAAATTACATTTACATCGATATATGGAAATGCAATAATTAATATGAGTAATAACATAAGCCTTTCATTTGTTTAATTATTACATAAATATTTTCATCCCGATAATATATTGCAATGTCTATTTTACAATTTAAAATGTTTTATTTTTAATTACAATTTTCAAATGTTTCAATTACTCTTTGTTGTTCTTCATTGTTTGTCTAAAGTTTTCGTTTCTTTCCTACCAGTTGAGTTTTACCTGCGTCCGAGTGGGAGGATCAATCTACGCTTGAACGAATTCACGTTCTACCAACATTTGAAAGCAAGATCGAACGCTCATCGTTGGAGTTGCACAGCATACGGCTCCAAGTGGAAATGCAAGGCACACCTGATAATAACTGACAAACTAGAAGTACTCAAAGCTAATCTCGTTCATAGTCATCCGCCACGTAATAAGAAATCCTTCCACAAACCAATATTCACAATGAGAAAAGGTGCAATGGATAATGTTGAAAATTTACCAGTTCCCGTCATAAGCGATATGCATACAGTTTCGTCGTTGCACGATTATTTCATGGCACACAGTGTGTTTAATAACTATTAGATTTAAGTTAAACTCGAATTTTGGTATTCCTATACTAGTGTAGTACTTAAGATATTTTAAAGACATAGTCCCTAAAGACATTTTAAGGTTGATATAAACATATCACTCGATCTATTATATGATGGTTATGACATTTCGCACAATTTGCACTGAAATATTCCTAATTTACAAAAAATATTACTTTTAAGTTTAACCAGATTTTTGATACTGATTTAAAAAAGTGCCTTCTGTAAAATGTATCTATAAGTGTGTATACTCTTAATAGAATAGATTTTGTAAGGTACTATCGATTAGTGCCGTGTATTCAGACATAATAGTGACGATAGGTAAATATTTTTTTATTCAATTAGGCTTTAAGCAGCTGAAGTGTTTAAGTTAAGAGGCTACTGAATGAATGGAACATCCATTCCATCTCAAAGTGCATTTCAATTATATTTTGTCTAGAATATTTACCAGTAATATGCATGTTGCTTTTCACCAAATCATGAGTTGTGACAGTTATAGTTACTTAAGATGGTGATGAATACGTTTCGAGACGTGTCCCAGTATTAAATTGTGATGATGATTTTTTTTAATTAAGACTGCTTGCTTCATATATGCGATGCTATTTTCCATCTCATATATGTCGGATCTCGTTTTTATTGATTTTTTACGTTTTACATTATTAACTTTTAGTTTATAATGTGTGGTCTCTTAGATGTAATGATGTATTCTCTTCGATTGTATTATCTGCATTTACTTTTATAAAATATACATGTAGTAAAACTTTGAATTTTCTTTAAGCTACTTTTATCGTAAGAAGCACGCAAGATTTTGTAAAAAAAAAAACACATTCTTACCTTTGACTAAATTGCCCAATTTTGCGATTGTCGGTTGTTTCGCAACCAATTCAACTATTTAGTTGCACAACTAAAAATCGAGTAGTGTGCTCACCTCCATATAAGCTCAATGGAATCAAAGCGAGACTAAACAATTGGGCGATCGTATTATCAGATGTGCGCACGTTCATAGATACTAAAAGAGATTTATGTTCTAAGAATTTGTTCTTATCCTTTTTTTTTGCAGGCAAATTAATTACAAGAACCAATGGTAGGGAAGTTTTTCTTCTAAATGGATATACGTATTACAAGCAGAAGTTTCTTCGGAATAGCGCGGCTTACCGCTGGGTTTGCACCTCTTGCAGTACCTACATACATCTCGATCAAAAGCTAAAGATTGTCCAGCTGCCGAGTAAAAAACACCAACATCAACCTAGAAGCTTCCATAAAACAAGTGATGGATCATATATTTTACTTAGATAATTTCGTTTCAATCAAAATTACACAAGTATAATTTACTAGCTGTTCCCGTGCGGCTTCACCCGCATGAAATTATGAAAATTTCATTTTATTGTTTACATTTGTCAAATTATCAATAGCAAATGTCAAAATGACACGACATGACAAATCTTAGCAATCTTGCTTTCTTGATGTTGGGAGCAACTTATGGTCTCTTTCTCACATGAGGGTTTTAATCCAAAATATTTACCCCCTAAGTTTAATGTTGTGAAAATATATAGCCTAAAGCGTGACTTAAGTGCAGGGCTTTTTATTACAAAAAGTATGCTGCAATTGCTGACATAGGCAACAAAGAAGTGTGTGTTTATGCTTTATTATAATAGTAAAGATAGTATAGATATCAAACCTCTTGTTTCGATAACAATGTTACCTGCTTTTTATGGACATGAATCTAAAAAATATAAAACAGCTGAAGGTATCGACTATCATAGTTTACCTTTTGTACGACTGAAAACAGTATAATCAATTGATTTTCAAATCGCTACAAGTCCCATTGGGGTTTTACTTTGACTAGAAATAAAGTTGAGTTTTGGTTTTGATTGTCTTCAGAATAAGTACAGCAATTTGTGATATAACCGATTATGCTATAAAAAAGTCAACAATTTAACTTATGCTGTAAAAAAGATATCAAATTTATATTTTGTACACAGTATCGTGTAAAGATCAATAGTTTTGTTTTACATTGAAAATATTATTATATAAATAGTTTATTTGCACCCGTATATTACTTGCGTTTTCGTTATATTTATGTTATTAATTAATAAAAAAATCTAATTTATATTTTGTTTTAAATGTTATTATATTTGATTTAAATTAAGTAATGTTTTAGTAATTTGATTTAATGTTAATATTATTTTACAGGTAAATTAATAACTTTAATGAATGGGAAGACAGTATTATTATATGACGGTTATACCTATGTGAAGAAAAATCTATTAAAGAGCAACATAACAAGATGGGTGTGTAGTAGAAGTAACGTTTGCTCGATGTACCTTCATATTGGAAGTCACCTTAAAGTCGTGAAAGTCGCCGAACAGGGACACTCGCAGCGGGCTTTAAAATTTTTAAAAACCAAGAGTTGTTCATAATTGTTTTTTTTCTTGTAACGAGTCCCATTACAATGATAAAATGTTCTTTGGCTGTTATGCGAGGGTACATGTTAGGTTGTGTAGATTTCCTGTGCGATTCTTTGCTTTCGGGACTCTCAAATGGTCTTGATTGACATTTTAATGTGTCATGGCTCTGTTTTTCGTTAGTAAGCGTATCGGTCATAGACTCCTAGAAGATATCTTTTTTTTTGGGGGGGGGGTCAGAAATAAAAGATATTTATTTTATTACGACATGAATATGGTACTAGATGGATTGTGTAACTTCTGTTTAGCCACACTTTCCTCTTTATTTAAATATTAATCATATTTCTCAAGGGTACCTAATCCTACGTAAGTTAAAGGTTTATTACCTATAGTTTTGTTTTGTTAGTAGTAATAATTCGACATTAGTAACGTACATTGATTTTCGTTTGTTAATGATAAAATAATTGTTTTGCTTTATTTTTTTAAGGTCGTTTGATAACTTACACTAATGGGAAGAGGTGTTTTCTTTACAAAGGGTATACTTTTTACAAGAGAAGTAAAGTAAAATCAAAAGCTACGAGATGGGTCTGTACGAAATCCAACATATGCAAGGCGTATATTCATGTCGACGATTATTTTAACGTAATTAAGTCATCAGTAACGAAACATTCCCATCCACCACCGAAACTTTGGATAAATGAACACGGCCTGTATGTTAAAGTTACGGCCTAATAGACCATTTCTCTACGGTTTTACTTAAAAAATCGTGCTAGGGAAATATTGTTTTTACTATTGTAAATTTTATGAACACGGCCAGTTTGGTGTTGTGTAAAATAATAATTCAGATTGTAATGTGTCAAAATCAGGTATGCAGGAGCAACGTAACCGTTTATTTTCTCTGCCTAGAGATGTTAAAAGAACAAACAGATGTACCGTCAATAACAAACAACGGTTATGTTGCGTAGTTTGTTTTCGACAACATATGAAGCATATTTTTAATTGTAAGATCTATATGTAATTTCTTTCAGTAAATTAAATGTTACAAAACACCTCTCTTTTCATTTCTTCATCAGGCAATTGGGCATCAGGCAAACACAAACATCATGCATCAGACAAACACAAACATCATGCATCAGGCAAACACAAACATCAAGCATTAGGCAAACACAAACATCATGCATCAGGCAAACACAAACATTTTTTCATTAGGCAATTATCCCTTTATAAATTACTTACTTCATGAATTCAATATCTGATTTTTTAGGTAATTTGATATCTCTGGCTAACGGGAGAAAGTTGATTATGTTTAATAAGTTTACATATTATAATAGTGGTCAATTAAAGAAAAGTTTCAAGTGGAATTGTACAATCAAGTCTTGCCAATCCTACCTTTTGGTCTCATCTAACTTGGATATAGAGAAAGTCGTTGAGAATCACAATCATGTACCTCCGAAATATAAAGTTTTAATGAAGAAGGTCGGCGAAAATAATTGTTTATTGAAATCTAAATCTGCATAATATTAATTGTAATAAATTTTTGTAATGAAATGAGTGTTTTAATTTTTTAACATAATTTTTCGATGTGTATTTCTAAGTATGTGTATTGAAAGTACTTAAATTGAAAAATTTTTA